CTTTCTTGTTATATTTACTTTTAGGTTTCTTTAGCGGTGGGGCTCTAGAGGGTCGAGAGGAGCGCTGGTTCGTGAATTACTCTTTGTAATTTTAGTSTTTATTTCTCTTGCGCGTTGCGTTTTTGGACATTTCGACTTTTGAAGAATGTTAGAAACCCCCGTCTTTAATCTAGATTTAGGATGTAGATTAATAAGTCGTTATTTATCATCTCGATTAGCCGGATTGTAACCGCCATTCTATTTCTCTTATTGGTTAAATTTTATTTTATGCTTTGGGCTCTCTCTCACATGATTTTTTGGTATATGTATTTTTGGGGTGTTACATATATATATATATAATATTCAAGTATGTAAATAAAAATACACATGTATTGATCGTGATTTCATTTATATAAATGAGTTTACAGATATTTTGATTATATATATTGAATACATACATACATATGTATATGTGTGTGTGTGTGTGTGTGTTCAATTATTGTTATGTAAATAACAAATAGAGTCATATGAGATGAAAAAATAAAAAATATAGGATGTAACGAACGAAAATAAATAGTCCAATTAATTTAATGTTTGATAATAATTACATCAATAAAAAAAAAAAAGCAGAGTTCGAAAAAAGAAAATTAGGATTGCGATGCCTAAAAATGTCACCATATTGTTGGTGTTTTTTTTTTACAAAATTACAAATTAAGAAACTATAAAAACCATAAAAGACAAAAGTGAATCCACAATAAAAACAAAAACAATCAAAATTCTCATAAAATTGAAAATTCTAAAGCCTCAATGGAGACTTCTCCTTAATCCATGTTCCAATGTCTTCTTACATATATTGATAAACCCGTGTATATTCTTCTATCATAGATGAGAGATGGAAAAGAAGAAGTGAGAGAGTACCGGTAGTTTAAAACTCGTACATGGAGATGGAGAACACATAAATGAAAAACACCAGAGATTGAGGGATTTAGAGAAAAACTATGGATTGAGGGATTTAAGATTGGAGTTGAAACGTACCAAGAGAAGGGGAAAGGTTTTTGAGTTAAAGGTGAACATTAATTTGCAAAATTACTAAGGAAAAAAAAAGTCAAAATGTGAAGAAAAAAAAAGAGAGAAAAAATTAGGATCTTTGCGTCGAGGAGATGCCACATCAGCCTATCATGATTCTGCTTTATAGATAGACTAGGTTCAATCCCGTGTATTACACGGAGTAATTTGAAAAAATTAAATTATATCATGAACTTATCTTATAGATATAAATGATCATCGAAAGTACGGTGCTACTTCAGACTTGTACTCTTGAAATAACTCTGAAATATAACTCTAAAAAATAACTCTGAAAAATGACTCTTCAGACTTGAATTTATAAATGAAACTATATCAACAATTAGTTAAAATGAAGTTAACCCTAGAAAAAAAAATATTAAACCTATAAATGAAACTATATCAGTAAATTGAATTTAAACTTAGAAGTGAATTTAGAATGACTTTTCAGACTTGTACTCTTGAAATAACTCTGAAGAATGACTTCAGACTTGTACTCTTGAAATAACTTTGAAGTAAAACTCTTCAGACTTCAGAGCTCTGTATAGGCAAACCAGAATGCATGCACTATGTAGAGGCTCTGCATGGTGCTCCATCTGGAAAAGAAGACTACAGATTTCGGGGGAGTTAACTTTGAAGAATGACGCTTCAGACTTGTACTCTGGAAATAATTTTGAAGTAAAACTCTAAAGAATGACTCTTCAGTCTTGTACTCTTGAAATAACTCTGAAGTATAAAATTAATCTCATTAAATCAGAGTTCAGACTTCTGAGTCTGAAAAAAAAAAAGACTTCAGAGTTCATGTAAGCTAAGTCTGAAAAATAAGACTTCATAATTTGGGTGAGCTAATTCTGAAGAATGACTCTTCAGAATTGTAGAATACTTCAGAGTTCAGACTTATTTTTCTAAGTATAAAAAAGATTTTAAGTCTGAAAAAGAAGACTTTAGAGTTCAGACTCCAGAGTTCGGGTGAACTATGTCTGAAAAAGCAAACTTCAGAGTTCGGGTGAGCTAACTCTAAAGAATTACTTCAGACTTGTTCTCTTGAAATAACTCTGAAATAAAAAAATTTAGTAAATTGAATTTAGAAATAAAACTATATCAGTAAATTGAATTCAAACTTAAAAGTAAACACAATTTTTTTCGTGAATCAATTACTAAACGAATTAATTAACCCAAAAATAAAATCAATTACATCTTAAATTAGTAGGATTGATTGAATAAGATGACACATATCAATCAAATGAGTATAATTGAATTGTTAATGTAAATTATGTCTAGTAACGTTCAAATAAGTCTAATTGAACCACTAGTATAAATTATGTTTAGATACGTGTTTAGACGAAAAAACAAGAAAACCAACTCACCAGAAGATGACAGGTGTGGTCCAAACTACTTATCTATTATAAGTATCGATATAGAAAAGTTATGAAAAATTATGTGGAGATATACTTTTTTAGTAGAAAATAATTCTATTTAATTTGAATATACGCTATTAAAACGTCGGTTAAAAGAAAATGACTGGAAAGGAATGAAGGTGGACGAAAACAGTAGGTCATCAAAGCTGTTATTCATTCATAGATCAAGAAAACCACCACTTCAATCTTACGCCATTTCAAATTTCCCCCTACAACTTCATCATCCCACAATCGTTTTTCTCTATAATCATCTCCACAGTTTTCAAGTTTGGGTACGTATTACTTCTTCTTTAAGCAACTACTTGTTGATTTTCTGTTCTTTTTTATGTTTTTCATGTTTTGTTATCGAGGACCCATCATTAGGTTTCTCTGGGTATCGTGATTTTGAAGCATTTTCAGTAGGTGGTACTATTTCTTTATTAATTATTCAATTTCGAGTTGGCATCGTTTGGTGAGATTGCAATTTCTTCTTCTTCTTCTTCTTCTTCTTTATATGATTGTTTGTTTGCGTCTGTAAAATTCGCACACAGACGCAGAACTGAGTTCTACAGCGGAACTTGAACTAGGGTTTTTGTTGGTTTCTATTCTAAATCTCAGGTCTCCCCTCATCTGCTTCTGGTCCTTTTGCTTTAATCTGATTCTTTTTTCTTTAGCATTGTGTTGATTTTGAAACTTGTTGACATCGTTGCTTGAATCTTGCATTGCTAGTGTGTTTTAGTATTTTTACTATCAATTCCCAACTAAAAGTCAAATTCTGTTTTCGAAATCTGAACCTATTAGCATTCTAATTCATGATCAAAACTGACGCACATTTTAATGAATTTTCAATGATTTAACCTAGATTTTTAAAAAATGGAATTTTTGGGACAGAGGAGATTGTTTTAAAAGTTTAAATTCTTGAATCTCAAAATTTGTGTGGGTGTTAGTTGTTTATTATTGATTTTATTTAATGATCAGGGATTTATTTGTTTACTGCTATCAATGACTATTTCAATTAAATGCTTTGATTTGGAGTCAAACTTGTTGCTGCTTGAATTCAAATCATTATGTGGGTTTTAATAGGAATTCAACCATGTTTCTAGTGTTATAGTGTAAGCTTATGTTAGACTTTGGTCTGAAAATTTATAAACCTTCTTGCAGATATCGGCTTTTTGACAATGGCAAGTAATGCTTCAAATGGAGAACATAAAGCAACAAAACCACCTCCAACCCCATCTCCTCTGCGCAATTCCAAATTCTTTCAGGTACTACGTTGCCACCGGATTCATAGACTTGTTTGTTTTTGTTTCTTTTTTCTTGAAATGTCAATTGATGTTATGTTTTCTTGTTTATAATCTTGTACAAAATATGAAACATACAATGTGTACCAGATTTAACAAAGTTGTTGATACTACCGAGTACCGATTCATCTTTACTTTTTAATTCCACTTTGAATTTGGGAGTAGTTGTCAATGGTCCTATCCAAAAGTCAAATTGTACCTCTTATTTCTTCAAAGGAGGGATAGGTTATTTTCCATATGTTTAAGTGTACTTTTGTGCGTATACGTACTCCAATTACTATTGCATGAATTGCAGTCAAATATGAGGATCTTGGTTACTGGTGGTGCTGGATTTATTGGCTCTCACCTAGTGGATAGACTGATGGAAAATGAAAAGAATGAGGTATGCATGTCCTCTTTTAACCAACACAGAATTATATATTGAACTCTTTGTAGCCTATCTTTAGTATCATACCACAAAATGATGTTGACATTTTTTGCCTATGTCTTCTTATCGCAGGTGATTGTTGCTGATAATTATTTCACTGGCTCGAAGGACAATCTCAGAAAGTGGATTGGCCATCCAAGATTTGAGCTTATTCGCCATGGTAATTTCTTGTTCTCTGCTGTACCAATTGTTCTGCATGCCCATTTGGGTATCCACTGAAACAAATAGCTCTTGGATCTTTACGCTGGTATGCTGGGATCATGTGGTTTTGACTTTTTGAGCTAATTGGGATTTCATTTCGAGATCTCCACTGATCATCAACATCTACTTCTTATGCTGATATGCATTTCTATAGATAAAAATGAAATTGGTGGCAGGAACCACAAAGTCGATTTCAATGCTGATCCAGAATTGAGATTCCTGCAGTTTTGTGTCGGTCTATATTCTATATACCATGGCATGACTTGAAAGATGAAGTTTACTTGGAGATAGAATCTTTACTTTTCGTGAAAATGGATTTAAACAAATGTTTTTCTTGGTTATGATGTTCTTGGGTATTTCATATATAGTATCTAAAATATGTCCATAAATTGTAGGAATTTTTCATGTTCTGATATCTTTATTGCATAGGAAGATAATCATATTCTATACAATTTTTCAGATGTCACAGAGCCATTACTAGTTGAGGTTGATCAGATATACCATCTTGCATGCCCTGCTTCGCCTATTTTTTATAAGCACAATCCTGTAAAGGTACGTGTTTGACCATTGGTCTCTGTTCTTTACACTGTGCCCGTTGCTTTTCTTGGCCTCTCAACCATGATCAGAAAGACTGCCATAAATATCATCATTCTTATTTTTTCCCTTTATCTCTTACCAATTTCATAAATAATTCATTTTCTTTTCAGTATAATGTTGAGTATTGTTTTTGTTTATACTCCTTTTGATGACGGAATGATTATAAATGGAACCTTAAGGAATTTGAAACGTGTAACAGACAATAAAGACGAATGTGATTGGCACGCTAAATATGCTTGGTCTTGCCAAACGAGTTGGAGCAAGGTTGGAAGACTTCTCTTATATTTTTTAGAGTTTTGAGTACCTTAATGTTTTAGCTTCACAGTAGGCTTGTATATCACATTTTCGAGTACTTGTAGGATTTTGCTTACCTCAACCTCCGAGGTGTATGGTGATCCTCTTGTGCATCCCCAACCAGAGAGCTACTGGGGTAATGTCAACCCAATTGGTAAGCCCACATCATCATGCATTTCCAATTTTAATCTTTGTTAATCCCTCTTTATCTAAATACTCGTGTGTGGTCCCTTCAATTAAATAAAAACTTTAATTCCATCATCAGCTCTCTTATGCTTCACTATTGCTTGAGATCTCTCTCCCATGATTTCCTTGCTCCATTTGGTGAAAACCCACACATGTATCTTTCTTGAAAAGATCATCCAGAAAAGAAACTCACAATCACTGGATACACCCATGGTGTATTCTGTCACCTTTTGCTATTATTACTGTGGCTCTTGTAGCTAATTTAATGCCACAAATTCATCTCCTTCTGACAATTATAATTGCCAATCAAAATAGTTCTCACACGATGTGTGTGAATTGACCAACCAGAGGAAGAACCCCTCTGCTGCTGGCACATTCCAAGACGTTGATGTTGAAACCCTTTCTTCTCTAAGAAAATGTCTTAAACAATCCTCCTCTAAGAATGAAGATAGCAAAAATACCCTCATGGGCAACCAAAAGAAGAAAGAATATGCAGATGATCATCAAGATGGTAACAGTGAGATTAATCCACTGAAGGGTATTCTTGACCCTTATCCAAGAATTGCATATACTATTTTGACGATTTTAGTGCCAACCACGAACTCAAGGAGAACTGAAATCATCAGAGATTAAAATCACAATTTTATTTCATTTTTGAAATGGAAAACAGAGGAACTGAATATGAAAATCCAAGAACTGAAGGAGAAGTTCATTTAGAACGTGATCAAGAAACAGAGCGCTGAAACTATAATGTTCTAACGCAGCCTTGTTAAAAGTAGGATTTGAATCCTCAAATGGGGATTTGAGGAATAAAGTAACCTATTACAATCAAAGTGGGTTTAGTGTCAAAGATGCTAAAGATTCAATAACAAAGTTGTACTCCTTAAAACAGCATGCTTCTATGGCTTTCTTCTTCTCGTTCTTACAAACCCCATTGACGATTCAAGAACTATGGCGTTAATACTGGTTATGCTCAGTGCCTTTTCTAGGAGTTGCTTTTGCATAAATGTAAGTTTAATAATGCATAACAAAGAGTTTAGATTTCCTTTTGTGTATAATTGAACATGTTTCAGGAGTTCGGAGTTGCTATGACGAAGGAAAACGTGTGGCAGAGACTTTGATGTTTGATTATCACAGGCAGCATGGGATAGGTAACATGATGTACTTGTGTGTGTGTGTGTGTGTAGAGAGAGAGAGAGCACATTTCGAATACAACCTATCCTATTTGTACAACCAATACAACCCTGATCTTAACTGTCATTTTTATTTTATTTTATTTTCAGCCTTTTTTAAATAAATAATCTGTAACTACCTTTTCCACCTCATCAAATGCTGACCGTAAATGAACTAATTGATGGTTAAGATGAGGTTATATTGGATATATATTAATAGTTTGATCGAGTCACCATACAGTGAGTTCAACTCCTTGTATCTCTTATCCTCTCCCTTGTATTATTTAACAGAAATAAGAATTGCTCGGATTTTCAACACCTATGGACCCCGAATGAATATTGACGATGGGCGTGTTGTGAGTAATTTTATAGCTCAAGCACTTCGGTAAGTCCTCTCCTCCTAAAAGAATTCAGTTATAAAAAAAACCCCTCAAATCTAAATGGGCTAAAATTTACACTGAATCATTGCAGTGATGAACCTTTGACCGTTCAGGCCCCTGGAACCCAGACTCGCAGTTTCTGCTATGTCTCGGATATGGTATCTTGAAACATAGTTTGATTATATCTTAAATGTATTTATGATGATCAAATATCGAGTATTTTGCAATGATATAGGTTGATGGGCTTATTCGGCTGATGGAAGGGGAGAATACTGGACCAATCAATATTGGTAATCCAGGTGAATTTACAATGATTGAACTTGCTGAGACAGTGAAGGAGGTTAGTCTTTTCCTTTTCTTCTTTTCTGATTCATTCGAAATCATCACTGGATTTTGAAAAAATATCGGAAAATTGAACAAAAATGCAGCTAATCAATCCAAAGATAGAGATTAAGATGGTAGAAAACACACCTGATGATCCAAGACAGAGAAAGCCAGACATCACGAATGCAAATAAGCTGCTTGGATGGGAACCAAAGATCAAACTGCGCGATGGGCTTCCCCTGATGGAAGCAGATTTTCGTCTAAGGCTCGGTGTTGCCAAGAAGCAGCTGTAATCAATGAAAGAGGCACAAGTGATGTTATGGTTTTTTTTCCCACCGATTGTTTGTGTGTTTCCATTCCCATACAAGTGAAAAATAAATGGGGCTGAGTCTTTACTACAGCTTTTTTGAATTTCTATTATTGCTGTGTTTTGAGGACTAGCATTCTTTTTTGCAACTTTCACGTGTAATTTTGGCATGTGTTTGTTTTGTTCTTTTCAATCTCTACTGGTTTTGGTCCAATCTATTTACAAATTACTAATTACTTCATATATTTATTACGCAACATTCTCGATCGTGAAAACTGATTGTTGCTAAATATCTTTCACCCAATAAACGTTTAACGGGTAAGAGTCTTCTCCCTCGCTTTCTGGGTAAGATTTTGATCTTTGATGTACTTCTAGCCGGGTAATATTTTTGGTCTTTGTCATCTTCACCCATTAAAGCAAGTGACATCCGGTAATCATTTGGTAGACTGTCACTTAGTCGTCAAATATTTCAAAAAAATTATATAAAAACAAATTGAAAAACTATGAAGAATTTCTTTAAAAACCCATAAATTCTTAAAAAAATTGGAAGTTAAACTATTTTTTATATGGTTAAAGTGGTGTTATTAGTGTTTGATCAAAAAGAATTTTGTTTGTCATGTATTACGATCTATTTTTGTAATCGCATGAATGGATTGATTTTGATTAAAAAAACCATCAGATTAAAAGACCAAATGTCAACTACTACGTTATAAGGTATAAACTTGCTTTTGTGATTCTATGGGCCAAATAATTTAAATGAAGTAAAGATTAAATTGTTCATACAGACACAATGTTACCATTTAAAGCAGACAATGATTATAATTTATAAATGTTTAACACCATGGTATTACAAGACGGAAGGAAGGTAGTATATGGTACGCAGACTAGATTGGACTGAACGGGACAAGTTATCTGTGTGGTGTTTGACGGGACTAAAACTAGAGAGGATCAGATTAAACAAATTGTCTCTAAAGGTTGTTTAATGATTTTATATGGTGGTTACTAATGGTGGAATGGTGGAAGTGGAGGTGGCGATTGTGGCAGAGGCGAAGATTGTTGGCAATGTTGGACTATGGTAGTTGTGGAGGGCGTGGAGATGGTGGATGCTGATATGGAGGTAGTGGTGAGTGATGGTAGTGTTAGTCACGGTGGTGGAGGTGGGGATTGTAGTGGAGGTGATGGTAGCCGCCACGCCAGTGGTGGTGGCAGTGATCATTAAAGCAAAATACCTATATTATAGTCATATCAAACGAGGGTAAATTAACAATTTTTAAGTTTTGTCCCATCTGTTCCCACCCGGTGTCTATCTTGTCCCTACCCCATACCCCATGTGGCACCCAACATGGAACAACGAATTTTTGTCTGTCCCATGTCATGCCAATTCACCAAACGTGAAACAGTGAATTTTATCCCGTCCCGTCCCATATACCAAAAGCAGCCGAAAGAAACAAAAGCTGCCCAAATACTTAAATTTCATAGCAACACAATACATGACACATGTTGTGCACTTTAACTTTGTTATTAACTGTATACATTTCTGATGAAGTCTTTTAAGAACAATTTTAAAAACAAAAACCAATCAGTCTTACTCGTTCAAATACAAGAAATATTTTATCCTGATGCATATTAAGCTGCAATCTTAGATCTTTATTACTACTGGAAACTAAATAAACCAATGCTCCAATACTTTCATCATTACCACAGCATGATGAAATCACCCAGAATGGAGCCTCTTCAACTGCAAGACAGAAGAAGCATATAAAACAAATTAGTAGACATGCAACAAAGTATTCATGTGCCCAGGAGACCAAAGAACAAATGCAATCAGCATAGATAAAGATCATGCAAGAAAAACCTATGTTAAGGACCAAGTTCATGATAACCATCTATGTTATACAAATATAGCCAAAGGGTCAAATGGTCAAGGCGTCTAGCGGTAGATCCCGGAAGTCAAAGGTTCAAATCTCACCAAAGGTATGGAGAGTGTGTGTGAGTTAAAACTTAAAAGTTAACACATCCAACATATTCACGGTGCTTAAGATAAGCATGCATATCATTTATTAGGGAATAGACAAATCCTAATAACTGGTAGTTGGCATTATGTCAATTGCGAAATGACGCCTTGCAACTAGTTTCAGCAGGCAAAGAGAAGGAGATTAGAAAGGCAGGAGTGACTCTTATCTTCCATATGATTCATCCTCCGATAGGCCGAAATCGGAAATACCCAACTCCTTCAATTTGCTAAAACCACATGTAATGTACCAGAAGTCCTATAATATATTGAATAAATTTTTTTCCTAGTGCTTCCGTCCCCTTTTTACGAACGAAAGAAAAGAAAAGAAGAGGTCCTATAATACATTGAACCCTACCTTTTACGTATGGCTCTCCTTTATACAGGCAAATCAATTCCTAGCAGAAGCCAAGTATGTGCACAGATTCAATACTAGTCCCCCCACCCAAAAAAAATTGATATGGGGTGAAGAACATGTAGTAAAAAGTATTTTAAAATTCCAATTTCAGGTACAAGTTGCAAAGAAACTTAAGCTACATGTAATATTTAAGATTCTATACCCCATGTTATCCGTGTTGCTAACTTAAGCTTCAGTTTGCTCAACAAAGAAACTTCCAAATCTATTTTGCATGCATTGTCCAGAAACTCAATTAGAAAAAGCAAGAACCATACACAGAGATACACAAGCTTAACGAATAATGGGCGCCCAAGTAAAACATTGAAATATGAATTGTCGGCATGAGTCAACGATTGAACTTATGGGAAATGACATACCATAATACCAATACATGCATATTTTATCAAAACTTGTGACCAAATAAATGAACAGAGAGGGTGCATACTTGCCCCTAAGACTACCAATTGGTTATTTGTTACTTATGGCTGCTCTTGTATGTAATCAGCTGTGATTAATCTGATACTACATAACAAAATACTCAAATGCCTTTGGCTGCAACAACGCCTGAAAATTCCAGGGAGAGCTCTTTGTAACACACTCCTAGCTTAATTATAGCCTAATAGTTATATAGTTACTCTCTCCGTTCCTGTTTCCACCGTTAGAATCTACTTAACAAGCTTTATTCGCCAAATGTAAAAATCGTCATTTTTGCAAAACTACGAAGACATGAATTATTTATTTCGGTTAAAATTCTAAAATGCGAATCTAACTATGGATCGGATAAACTATAATGATTCAATGCTGCCTTAGTAATACACTAAACAGAAACAGACAAACTATGACTAGAGTAATCAAATCTAGGGTTACAAAAGTTGAATGAAACTAGGTCAGATTGGGGGTTTTGTATCGTACCTCTTGTGTCTTTGGGCAAAGACGGAGTTTTTCCTGTCTTCCTCTGCCAGAAAAGAAAATCCATACAATTAGCAGATCCGAATCTCAGGGACTTCGATCGGATGAATGTGAAAAACAGAAAGGATACGAACCAGTAAGGCTGAGGGAAAACTTAGTGATGATGGTTCCGGTGATAGCGAAACCGACGAGGAACGGCCAGTTGCGATTGAACTCCCTCTTGAAGAAAACTGGCCATGGATCGAACTTCCTCATTCTGTATGCTCTCTGTTTGCGATGATTCTCCTCTGCGGTTGCCTGGGTGGATGCCTGAATGGAGACATGGGGGTTGTATTGTATGAATTGACAGATACACGACGCATTGGGCCCAACATATTGGGCCTGGACTCCCCAGGTCCGCATAACCCTCAATGGGGTTCCAACTTAGAACCCAAACTTATCAACCATCGTATGAGAAGGAAAGTTTTGGTGAGAATCGTAAGAGAGATCTTAATCCTTGATCATTTTTAATCTTATGCTTATTTACTAATTTTGCTTTATAAGGGAACAGATCTGATGCATCTTGGTGCATTGCATTGCATTAGTATTAACATTCAATTATGATTTGATTCAATGGTGTAGATCTATTTTTACGCCTCTCACTATAACTTTCTTTCTCATTAGAACTCAACCATTAATGAATAACAGTTCTTTTGTTCAAATTTAAGCAATACTTAAATATCATTTCATATTATCTTAGACGTTGTTTTTCTATTACTTTACGTTTAAATCAAGTTTTCATCTCACAAAATGTCAATTGTCAATTGCTTTGTGATCTTGTCAAACGGACTCACAAAATTAGTTGAAGTAGAATTCAAGGACAAAAATAGCTATAACTTTGAGGGTCACGGACAATGTATAAATAAAGAGTGTTATGTTGCATTATCATTGAAGATAATATAGTTGATTTCTTTCTCTAATTATCTCTCCTCCTCTCTTCATAATTCTTGCGTCTTCCCTGTAATGTCATTCTGTAAAACCTGTGTGTTTTACGGTTGATCATTTAAGAGTGTATATTTGTTTTAGCAAATCAATAACTGTCCAGCTATTATCGAATGTTCGTGGTTTTTGAATCAAGAGTCATGGTAGATTTGGGATGAAGAAAAGTTGTGTTGAGGTCATCTAAACAACCTATAAAACACATAAGATACACAAAAGAGCACAATAGAAAGTGCTTGCTTAAAAACGTGCTATTATTTGCTTAAGCAAGCTTAGCTTCACATTTGAGAAGAGAGTCTTCTCAGCTATTTATACTCATTGAATTTAATGCAAGTCAGGTGGTACAAAACACGAGTTTGTCATTTGTTTTCAAATATACAAACTTTTGATCGTATATGAACAATATTATTTCACAAAGTTGGTAAGCACGTTTGGAGACAATAGAATGACTCCATACACATGCTTTACTGTGTGAGGTATGAGGTTATCTTTTGTGTGTAGGAGGATAAGACAACCTAATATTATGGAGCAAGATTCATTTGATCACTAACACTGACACAACTTTAAAGTTTTTTTAGTGTTCGTTGAATCTTGATTAGACTTCACACTTGAAGTAGACATGTTTGAGGTATGAAATGTGCTACTCATGTTGGCTTTACAGCAATTCATTTTCCTTTAAAAACTATACAACGAGCTTTTGACATTTCTAACAAAACAATATTTTATTTTTATTAACCATGGAATTTCGGGATAACTTAAGAGCAACTTGACCAATCTATATTTTGAATAAGTTGATTTACAAATTGATTTTAACGATAATTTTTTTACAAAATAAATGAAAATCAAGTAACAACTCTAACTTTGTAACAAACTTGAATTTTACGACAATGTGATTTAAATTCTACAACTTAAACCAAATCCCCCGTCATCGAACAACAGGTGATCATCGACAACAACTTCTGTAATATTCAGGTTTCATAATTTTTGGTTTTAGATTTAGAAATTTGTATATATATTAAATGTGTGTGTGTGAGAGTAATTGTTTTAATATTTAAGTGGATGGCGATTTATGCACTTGCTATAAATAGCAAGTGCATATGAGATTTAAAGACTTACTGAGATTTTGGAGTACAAGTCTTTTGAGAGAGTGCAGACTGGTTCAAATCCATTCAACATCTTTTGGTAAGGTGAGTGTATTAAAGCTTTGAGTATAAAATTGTTTTCATACAATTCAGTAGTTAGAACTGGTTATTTATGATTTATAGTTCATATTGTGCGGATATTTCCTTAAATCGTCCATGTGATGACCGGATTGATATCCGGACAATTTCATCTGGATTATAACCGTTCAAGTGTTGTCCGGATCTTATCTAAATCAGACAAGGGTTGGACGACGTATTGTCCGGATTGCTTTAAATCGGTCAAGGGTTGGACGATGTATTGTCTGGACTATTTTAATTGGTTAGGTTGTGAGTGGGGTATTGTCCGGACTTGATATCCGGACAAAGATATTAACTTAATTCTAAGTGTCAACAGGACAAAACTTATACGAGGTGATGTCCGGATTGTTGACCGAAGATGATGGTTACTCTTGATAATCTAAGTATTTGTCAGGATTACATATCCGGACAAGGTTGACCGAACTTCAAATCCGGTTAATGTGTTGAAATGTTTTGAGATGTAATGACGGTGTAACCGCGAGAGAGATGCAATGGCGGTGTAACCGCGAGAGAGATACAATGGCGGTGTAACCGCGAGAGAGATGCAATGGCGGTGTAACTGCGAGAAAGATATAATGGGGGTGTAACCGCGAGAGAAAAATGTAATGACGGTGTAACCGCGAGAGAGATGTAATGGCGGTGTAACCGCGAGAGACATAAATAAGTTTATGTATCAGAACAGGTTTGATTCTAAACTGATTGTTTGGAAAATATGTTGTTTGTTTGAGATTTATACACTCATTAGACCTTTTTGGTCTAACGCTCAAYTGTTGGACTAACATGTTTTGCAGGTCATCATACCTCGCAAGATAAAGACAAGAGAAAAGTTTAGAATGAATGACATTTAGTTATTCAAAATGTATTTTAAGAAAGTTTTTGTTTATCTGTATTTTGTAAACAATGTTACATTTGGTGTTATAAGTATGATGATGTGAATTATCTGTACATGGAATATGTGGGTTGTTACAACTTCTCCGATGTTTGGTCAACGTTTCTTTGTTATCTTAATTGATTCAGAACATTCTGAATTTTCAAGTAACTTTACAACAGTCGTGACGTTGGATAACATATAATTGTAGTTATTATAGTCCGTCATTAAAAATATATTAATAATTTCAAAAATTATTAAACAATTATATATTCAATTACTAAACCATCCAAGATGTGATCATTGCGATTATTTAATCAAATTATTTAATTATTGAGACAAGTATTTAGTAATATTGAACAATAAAAAATTGAAAAATAATCATTTAATGAAATCAATATTATATTTAAAGATAATTAAATATAGAAAAGTCAAAATTTTCAGAAGACCCGGCGCCTAGGTCACTCGCAATCCTTCTCAGGCAGAAAGCACACCACACGGATTGGAATCCGAAATAACGCATCCACCGTCCATCTGACTTTAAATCAAACGGCTGTCATTCACTCTTAACTTTTCAACCATTCCACACTTCAATACTCACCCACTCAAAGTCTTTCAAATCCCGCCCTCATTCAAAACCCACATCTATAAAATCCCCACACACCATCAAGGTTTATCATCACCTCAATAATCTGAATCCACTTCAATCAAAGCCAAAATCTAGAATCTGAATTCAGATCTGATCAACAATGTCGGGCCGTGGAAAAGGAGGCAAGGGATTGGGAAAGGGAGGAGCAAAGCGACACAGGAAGGTTCTTCGCGATAACATCCAAGGAATCACCAAACCCGCCATTAGAAGATTGGCTCGTAGAGGAGGTGTTAAGCGTATCAGTGGCTTGATCTATGAGGAGACTCGTGGAGTTCTTAAGATATTTCTTGAGAATGTCATCAGAGACGCCGTCACCTATACCGAGCACGCTCGCCGGAAAACTGTTACTGCCATGGATGTGGTTTATGCTTTGAAACGACAGGGCCGTACTCTGTATGGTTTTGGTGGTTAGATTTAGGGTATAGATTGGGATTAGTGTAATCATTGTAGATCGTATCTGAATACCTCCTTCGTTGTATTCTATTTTGATTTTGTTGTCGGTCCTCAACTCGAGGTTATGAATTTATGCTATGAACAACTTTTTTCATTCGACCTTCATTTGAATCTATAATCGTTTGAGTTTCGTCATCGAATCAAAACATTTGCTATTGTTTATTTGTTTGAAACGGATTAAAACCACAAGTTGCCAATATTATACACGTGATAAGCTTCTTTAGTTTCTTACAGTTTTGAGGTGGTTCAAGATAATCTTTTTTTTTCCCTTTCAAATTTGTTGTGAGTGTTTGTCGTTTGTCTGTGGGTTGGAATTATTAATTGGGAATGGATTTAGGTTTTATATATTAATTGGCTACGAGTAATTGGGTGTTTGGTTTCTCTTGCCATCATGAAAGGTCTCCTTTCCCTTCCTTCCACGTGGATATAAACCTCACCGAATAATAATTGTTTGCTGGAGTCACGTATCAATTGCTAATAGGAATAGCTTTTATTCATTCAGCTAAATCATATACGAGCTCTTGAAGAGAAACCCTTCTCGGAGCTAATTGGTTTGTGATTTCAATCAAGCTGGCGAAGTATTTCCGCCAACGCGATGTGGGTCAGGCTGACAGCCGAGGGGATTCTGGGTGCTGGTCGTTTCAAGCGGCTGGTGCCGTCCCTGACATTGGTATGCCGAGCGATGATGCGGTGGTGATACAGAAAGGAAAGAAACAGGGTGACCCGTTTGTAATCACGGTCAATTGTCCGGATAAAACTGGGTTAGGTTGCGATATCTGTTGGATTATTCTTGATTTTGGGATCTATATTGTTAAAGGAGGTCAGTGTTTTTATTAAATTTCTTTTGTATGCTTTGATATACAATATATGTTTCCAGAAATTCAATGTGCAAGGTTCCAATCAATCAATTTATGTTTGTGTTCTAGGGTTTTTTCTGAGTTAATAATATGCCGCATTATGTTATAAGCTAGCCCTAGGCCAATTTCTGATGAAAAACTTCTCTGGAGTTGGGGAGTTGAGTTTATGTGAAGAAGGTAGATAGCTAGAAGGCAGATGCCTATTAGTTATGCTATTTTACATAAATCTTTCTTCCTTTTCACAAATGGGTTTTAGCAACTATGCTCAGACTTGCTAGTTTCTATCAAGAAAAATTTGAAGATGGTTATGAAGAGAACCCAAGTGTCAAACTTGTAAATAAACCATGTTTATGGCTTTAGTTTGGCTAAATACTTGCAACATGATCTAGCATGCTTTTCTTCTGAGGGTGTCTGACTATTGGATGATACAGAGATAGTATAGCTTCAGCCTTCACTTGAGGTTTTATATTTACCACCAAACCTGGCCATGATTTATGAAGTGTTTCTAAGATGCCTAAGAACCTAGTAGCTTGTGTAACTGTGTTCTAATCATGCGATGCAACAACCATAATGCTTCTGTTTTACATAAGCATTTGTGGGATTCTATGTTGCAAGGATATGGGTTTGTGACACATGGGTGAGACTGCGAATACATGTGTGTGTGTGTATACAAATCTAAAACGGAATATAAAATAGTTAATGATTCATAACATTGCATATGTAAGATAACTTGCACATTATTAGTTCATGCTCTTATTTATACTTATTGCATCCATATGATATTGTACAAAAAAAGTATTTGTTGAGTCGTCTTGTTTTCTATCCTTGTGAATTTGGCCAATAAAACAACGATATGTTCAACATTGCCTGGGGTGTGTACCCCCATGAACTGTAGTCCCAAAGTGCCAGATACCCTGGGGTGTGTACCCCCATGAACTGTAGTCCCAAAGCGCCAGATACAGGGTTTGGCAACGAATAAAAGTACCCTTGCTTACTGGATGAGATTGTTTTACATATCTTGTTTTACTTTTGAAAGAATACTTCTACATGAAGTTATGGGCTAACATATTGATATACGTACTTGATTTACAGACTCTATTGTTTTCCTGTTACATACTAAGGATCAGTTTGGGCTGATCAGTGGATGACATTTGTATGTGATTCAAAAATATATTTACACTTTAGTGGATCATTAACTTACATTATGGAATTTGTCTATTTGTTTTAGATTTTACGACAGATGGATCATGGTGCTACATAGTGTTATGGGTTTTTCCTCATTCAACTGCACCGACCGTAAGATGGTCAAATGTAAAAGAGCGCCTCCTAGCTGTATGTCCGTCATTTTCTGTATCAGCTTACTTAAATGAGGCACCCCCCCATCCTGTGGCTTCTCCAGTGTACCTATTTACATTTTGCAGCACTGATCGGAAGGGATTATTACATGGTACTTGCATTTTCTCGTTGTTAGTTTACTTTTGGATTATGCTCGTGTCACAATCTAATGTTTTTGTTATCTTCTTCTTTAGATGTCACTCGAGTTCTGTGTGAGCTTGAGCTTATGATCCAGAGAGTTAAAGTGACAACAACCCCTGATGGCCGTGTCATGGATCTATTCTTTATTACAGATAACCTGTGAGGGTTTGTTTCTTAGTACTCTTTCTTTGCATCGAGTAGTTTTTTGTTGCAATTTTGTGGATCAAATTCACACTGCATAACTGATGAACTTGTATAGATTTCATCATGAAGCATGCAAATTGGATATATTTTCCTCTATGTTACCTAACTTGTAGGCTGAAATGTTATAAGTTGTTAATTCAGTTCCTGTTTCCACTACATCTGGTGCAAACTGTATTCCCTATAATGGATATTTTGCACTCTTTTGTGGACATACTGAGATTGAAAGAAAAAACTGCCATGCTTTGTACAATATCCTGTTGATGTATGACTTAGTTGGAAGTCATTGATCGTGAGTAATGTATATAAAACTGATCGGTTTAATTTTGGAAGGCTTGCACCTAAATAATGATGTACGTTTTTTTTAGTATTTTGTGAAACTAGATTTGTCATGGCAGGCTGGTGGTTTATCATAATTTGATTTAATCAAATGTCAAATTATATGTGAGTTTGGTACGAGTATGATCTGTAAATATCGGCTTAAGATCATATGCTAGGTTATTTATAATTAATTCATTTGATGTTAACTTTTCAGCACTCACCAGTTTCAACTTGTTTAAAAAGTGTAAACAGTTTAAAGTTTCTCCTAATACTCCTTCCGTCCTAAAATAAGTGTCCATATTTTTATTTTTATTGTTCCAGAATAAGTGTCCATATTTCTATTTTAATTTGTCCCAAAATAAGTGCCTACTTTCCATTTTATCCTTAATTATGCGATGGGGAAATTCATTCCTCCCGCTATTATTAACGGTAAAATTGTCATTTAATTGATTAAAAAGTGTTGTAATTTATATATTTCTAAAACTGTGTTTTTTTCATTATGAGCATTTATTTTGGGATCGGAAGAGGTACGTAGTAGGAGAGAATAATGATCTGGGTATGATGAAAAACTGAGGCTTCTTTTTGAGTTCTTTCAGTTTCTGCATAAATCATATGGTCATCTTGTTCGTTTATATGTTCCTTTAGTAAAATTGACAGGATAATTTGACATGCATTGCAAAAACGGAACCATCATTTGGGTTGGAGATTATTTAGATTGCTTCAATGTGGCTGCTATTTAGAACTGCTGATTCATATATTTCAGGGAGCTATTACATACGAAAAAGAGGAGAGATGACGCATGTGAAAAATTGCATGCCGTTTTAGGTGAATCTTGCACAAATGTCGATATTCGGTCAGCAGGTTATAAGCATGATGGTGTCCTAGCTATCTCTTCTCTTTCTCTGACGGCTGCTGGAGAATTATTTAAGACGGAATTATCAAAAAAGGAAGATCATTCACATGCTCTTAGTGCGGATGTGAAGAAGTTGAAGAGGGCCAATGTCCTTATTGATAATTCCTTGAGCCCAGCTCATTCCCTGCTTCAAATTCACTGTGTTGATCACAAAGGTTTTCTGTATGACATCATGCGGGTATTGAAAGACTTTGATATACAGGTCACAATTTCCTCTGAAAACTGATACAGTTTTGTTTTCCTAATAAGAGTTGTTTGTTTACCTCTTAACAGTTCCATTAAGAGGCAACATCTGAATCATTAAGAGGTGAATCTTGTTTGGTAAAAAAAAAGTCTGCCTCTTAATGGTTCTAAAACCCTCTGAATGATTTTGTATCATTGGCCTCCCTTAACCATTAAGCGTACTAATTTCATTGTAAACAATTACCAAACAATTATATTTCATTTTGCACTATATCATGAAAGCCTCTTAATCATTCTGACCACTTAATCATTCTTCACCAAACCACTTAAGTATATTAGTAATACCTGCTAGTCTAAAAGAGCATCGACTTTCTCTCTAAGTTTGGAAAACCAATGTCATTTGGGCTTTCAGCCGATATTGGACATGGTGGCTCTAGTTATTCCGGAGGACACTACCTCTGATAGAAAACCAATGTCTTGCTCAATTTGCATGTTTTATCTGTTGTATGTTGTTGCTTACTTCTAACCCGTATTTCAAAGTTTAGCAGTTAGCACTACCCTTCTTGTTTTCAAGTTCTTCTTCGTTGTTCTATTTTTCTCCCACACTTTGCACAGACCCCCACCTCATCCTCTTCTTTTCTGGTCCTGCATTTATTTATTTACCAAGTTGTAAATTTCTTGGTATTGTGATTTAAGTCTGTTTGGGTAGGCTTAATATGAGTATGCAGTGATTTGTGTTGTAGCAGTAGCCATCTAGGCTCAAAATGCAATTACAATTTATTTTAACAGATAGCTTATGGGCGATTCTCACCAGTTAACGAGGGGCATCGCGAACTGGATCTGTTTATCCGGCAAAGGGACGGTTTAAAGATTGTGAACATTGAGAAACAAGAGAAACTGATATCTCGTTTAAAATTGGAAATGCTTCACCCGTGGCGAGTTGTGATAAGCAATCGTGGACCAGATATGGAACTACTTGTTGCTAATCCAGTTGAGTTATCAGGAAGAGGACGACCACAGGTTTTCTATGATGCGACACTCGCCCTCAAGGTTCTTGGGATATGCGTGTTCTCGGTAAGTAAGCAAGAAGTATTTATTAAATGTTTAGAAGCAAACAGACATGATATTGGATTGGATTGTAGGCTGAGATTGGAAGATATTCAACTGAGAATGGAGAATGGGAAGTGTACAGATTCCTACTGGAGGAGAACTGCAAATACAAACTGGGAAGCATGGTGGTTAGAACTCAGATTGTGGACAAGGTCAGAAGAACCCTCATGGGTTGGTCATTTTAGATATTATCTGCATTGCTGAAATTGTTGTTGTACTAACATCACATACTCATTTTATATTTGTTTCTAGGAAGCATATATATATATATATACATATATATATATATATATATATATAGGTATTGTTGTTTCTATGAGTTTGTGAATGCAGTTACATTCTTAGACACACAAATTGAAGATATTGTTCATTCCAATTTCCTTGATTCCATCGAAATCCCCGAACCTAGCACCTTTTTATGTGACGTTTGGTTCACATAATGAAATATGTCGAAATTGGAACCTGTAAAAGGAGTTAGAATCTAACAGAGTTGAGATGGAACTTAACTAGGTTTGATCTGCATTTGGTTGATTAGAATTAGAATATGATCTTTTTATTTGGTTTGTTGAATATAACTTTGCAATTGTAATAAAAATAATTATAAAGAATAATATTTTTTATGATATTTTGATACTATATTACTTAAATTATAAATACTATATAATAAAAAGTAATAATAATATTAATTGGTTGTGATGGTAATGGCATGTTTATAACCTTTCATGGTAGGATTTATGGTATGCACTATCTATCATAGAGATATCTTTTAATGATTAATCTATGCATATATTATATGTTTTTAATAATAATAACAATATTTTTAATAGTTTATTAAATTTCTATATGATTGGTCCATGTTACTTGTCTTGGCCATGTTGTAATTTGAATGATTAAAGTGTTGTTTATCAAATGTTTATCTAAGTATGTGTTTATCAAGTCATATATTATTTTGTCGAATGAATATGACAACGACCATGAATCTTATCTGGTAAGAGCGAAGACAGAAACCGAGAGTCTTATTCAGTAAGTGAGGGCGAGGAATCTTACCATGATTAGCGCTTTCTAGATGAAGTGCTACATATGTACCATTTTGGTGGACTAAAATCTTATCTATAAGTAAATGATAATGTTAAATTTTTTCGATAAACAGTTACCTAGATAAATGTTTGATAAACGACCTCTAAGACCGCTTTGTAGTTTTCTTAAATATAGTTATGGGATATAGTTTGTTTACTTACCAAGTTCCAACATCTGTGTCATTCTTATTTCTTTTTATTTTGCCGGAATCCGACAAAAGTAAACAATTCAAACATCACCTTAGAATATGTTTTGTCATTTAATGTCTGCTTATTTCTTTCAATCATTAGATATTGCTTGTTTTAATTTAATTTATAACTAATCATTGAATTAAATAAGTCATAGTAAATATGCTCTTTATAAAAACATTTGACAAAAACTCTTATAAACTATTTTTTATGCATTAAGTACTCTTTATTGATGCATATTACTTAAAATTTAAGATTATAAGTAAATTGTGCGAATGTACAACTTATTAAAGCTCCATGTTTGAATTCGTGTAACTAACTGTAAATAAACACAATAAAAAACAGGATAGATATCTCATTTTAAATATAAAAAAATCTAAAATATATTTAGAATAATCATTGAATTTTAACAAAATACTAATTATTAGCTTTATAAAAAAAAGATATTAATAACTGACTTCGTTATTAAATCTAAATTGAATTATAATAAAAAATTGAATTAAAGAAATTACATAAAAACAAGAACTTTTAAATATTTAATTTGATACTATGAATACATTTTTTTCAAATTTTATAATACATTCAAATTTATATTTTATTCAAAAAAATAAAAACATTATTGTTTTTTCAGTACAACATAAAATCGTATTATAAAATCGACGGAGATAGAATAAAACAAAACATTAAAATCGAGATGTATCTTACTACATTGCGCGTGTACCCTTCTAGTTTTAGTAAAAACAAACAACCCCTTAATTTTCCATAAAATATAATTAAACAAATATAACAATAAAACCATATTCATCGAAATATATCACACGATCACGATGCATGACACATGATTCTTCTTTCAAGTGTTTAACACGATTAAAACAATATACGTCAAAAAAATTGACACGTTACATTTACTGTAACGTTCAACTTTGGACCCTAATGTATGTAATTCTTAACCAATATCGTTCATAAACTTTAAAAACTCGGATTTGATCCCTGTCACTAACGGTCATTACTTTTTCTTTTAATTCTACTTCAATAATGGGTATTTTAGTCATTTTAACTATTTTCTTAATTTTGTATTAAAATTAAAAAACACATTATATTAAAAATTAAAAATATAATATATTTTTTATTTTGATATAATAAGTGAAAATGACAAATACGTACGAGTATTAGAAAACTGTTAAACCGCTCAAACCGGTCGAATCAAGTTAAACCATACTGTTTTTGGCGGTTTTGCAGTTCAATTTGGTTTGAAAAATAGCCAAACCGCTCGATCCGCTCTGTTCTGCAGCTTGAACTTTTTTTAAGCGGTCTGCACCGAACCAACCGCCAAAAAATACGTTTGTATTAATTATATTTAGTTTTCATTTATAGGCTCAACTTTATGGCACAATAAGAAAAAGTTCTTCCAATACATTTTGTTTTTAGTTTTCATTTCTCAATTGACCGTGTCATCTAAATTAACAAACTTACGAATTCCGTCAAAAATCAAATTCAAAATTTCCAATTATCATTCGGTCTGCTCAATATATTTGTCTAGAATTCTAACTATTGTTAGTAGATTTGTTTTATCTTTTTTCAACATGCTCGATGTTTTTTAGTTATAGAGATAAATGTATCTTTTATAATCCAGTATCCTATTTCTTAATAATGTTATTTTGATAGAAATTTCATTATAACTATAGATGTTATGTTTTTTCTAGCTTAAAGCCCACAAAAGACCCGGACCACCCATACCATTCAGACTAGACCGCCTTTTTGTGGTCTGGTTTGACCTGTTTGGTCACTTGCTTAAACCATTGTGAATTGACAAACATTAGGAAGAACCAAATATAAGTTATTAAAGTTTAGGGACAATATCTGTTAAAATTACAAACGTTAGGTACCAAAATTAAACTTTACTCTTACATTAAATATAATAAACATAGAATTTATGGTGTTGTTTTAGTTTTATATATTTATAATTTTTTTTACATGTTTTTACAATCAAGATTATCAATTACATAATAATTTATTAAAAAGCAAATTAAATAAAAATACGAAATACTTTATTCCAATTACTATTTTGTATAATCGTGTTTTTTATAAATTTTATTTTGGTATCTGATATGTAAATCATATGATATCTTAAACATTTAAATGTATGTGTAACTGGTCTAAACATTAACTCATTATAATGTTAACATGACATATAATTCAGTGTTATTTGCTGATGTGGTCAATGATGTGGATTTTTTGATGAGCAAGGTATATTGCACACATCCATGTTATAAAATCTCCACAATCTTTCTTCTTATCGTTTGAAATAAAAAACCACCATTGTTTGTTATTTTATATTTGATCTGTGTTTTAATCGAATGATCTTTGAGATCGGAAGAAATTATCAGTACCCTGATTCGTAACGAAATTAATGTGTTATCTTTTATTTTAATTTTTGCCTAAAAGAGACTAAGGGACCGTTTACTAAACACTTACTTGATAAGTGTTTAACGCATAAAATTTTTCATAGGATGAACATGAAAAGGGCCAAGAATCATATTGGGTAAGAGCGATGAGAAGGATGGAGAGTCTTACCTGGTAAATTGTTGTATTCGATATGTTTTGATATACTAAAATCTTACGCATCAAAAAAAATTATAGTGTTGACTCCTATCGATAAACGCTTACCGGGTAAACATTTGGGTAAACGACACCTAAATTCATCTCAAGTTCTGAAGCAAGACCCCTCCCTTTTGAAATACGTAGATCTCTAAATATATAATTCATAAAAAAATTAATGAAAAGATTTAAACTAATTTCATAAGAAAAAAACAAATCATTTGCACATTATTAATCATATCAATTATTTTTATATTATTTTTTATTACTAAATATATTTTAGGTTATGTTTGACAAACTAGCTGTTAAGGTAGTTGATGGCTAATAAGCTAACTCACAGCTGATTAACAGATCATGTTAAACAAAACTAGCTGATGAGGATGTTAAATGACCAAAAATGATATCTTGAAAATTCTATCAATTATAATATTTTAAAATATAATTGAAACAAATCTCTAATAATATAATATGTTAGCTAATACAAACAAAATGATAAAACAAATTAAAAAAATATAATATACTAATTAATACTGGTTTTCAAAT